AATAGCTTTGTTCAATTCTGTAAAGATCAGGAAGCTTATATCACAAAAGTAACCTGGGATGAATTAGATAGAGCTTGCGAGTTACACCGTATAATAACAAACGATCCTATTCAACTACGTCGCAGTATCATGGAAAGCGATATCAAGAAGTTCATGGAAAAGACCGACCGACCCGTACCATCTACAACAGAGATTCAGAGCAAGCTACCACCCTGGCTTCGCGATCTGTTCGCTGGGTTCTTACCCTCCCTCGCCAACGAGCTCCCGCCACGACGCTCTTGGGATCACAAGATCGAGATCATGCCAGGCAAAGAGCCCCCGTACAACAAAGGTCGCCCAATGTCCCCAGCCGAGCTCCAAGTCGTTCGCAAATGGCTCGATGATAACCTAAATAAAGGATTCATCCGCGAATCCCGCTCCCGATCGGCCGCCCCACTCCTCCTAGCTGCAAAGCCCGGGGGGGGCGTTCGAATTTGCCAGGACTACCGTGGACTGAACAATGTTACTATTAAGAACCGTTATCCGCTGCCACTGATCAAAGAAACCCTCGATGCCTTATGCTATGCTAAAGTTTATACCAAATTGGATATCATCGCCGCGTTCAATAAACTACGGATCGCGGAAGGTCACGAATGGAAGACCGCTTTTACAACTCGTTTCGGCTTATTCGAATCCCTGGTGATGCCTTTCGGCCTTTGCAATGCTCCTGCCTCGTTTCAGAACTATATCAATCATGTTCTTTTTGATCTCCTGGATAAGAATTGTACAGCGTACCTAGACGATATCTTGATCTACTCTGAGAATGTTACAGATCATCGAAAGCAAGTTCGCGAAGTCGTGCAGAGACTCATTGACGCTGGATTACAAATTGACATTGACAAATGCGAGTTCGAAACGAGGAGAACGAAGTACCTCGGCCTGATCATTACTCCTGGTGGTATCGAGATGGACCCCGACAAGGTTAAGACTATCCTCGAATGGAAGTCGTTAACTAAGCTAAAAGACCTCCAACGCTTTCTAGGGTTCGCCAACTTCTACCGACGCTTCATTCGCAACTTTTCTAAAATCACGGAACCTTTAAACCGCCTGCTGAAAAAAGAGAATATATGGAATTGGACTGCTGATCAAGAGAATGCCTTTGAAAACCTGAAGCATGCCTTTGCCTCCGCTCCAGTCCTTGCAATGTTTGATCACCACCGCCGCACAGTTGTCGAGACAGATGCTTCCGACTGGGCTGCGGGCGGAGTACTCTCTCAGTATGACGATGAGGGCCGACTACGCCCGGTTGCATACTTCTCCTCAAAACACAGCGCTGCCGAATGCAACTACGAGATCTATGATAAGGAACTACTAGCTATCATCAAGTCCTTAGAAGAATGGAGACCCGAACTATATGGAACTCAAGAGCCGTTCGAGATCATTACTGATCATAAGAATCTAGAGTACTTCACATCGACAAAGATGTTGAATCAAAGACAAGCTAGATGGGCTGAATTCCTGGCTGGTTTCAACTTTCGTATCATATACAGACCGGGTCTTAAAGCAGTTCGCCCCGATGCACTGAGTAGGAAAGCAGAAGATCGCCCTGTACACGCCGACCCTAATGACGACCGAATCAAGAATCGCTTACAAACAGTCCTCCCGAAAAGAGTATTCGACACCGCTGCATTCAAGAACCTCATCCGACAAACAAATAACGACATCGACCTCACCGCGGCGCCTATGGGTATGATCATCCCCGATACTGAGAAGCCGATCGACGATCTTATCGATAAAGCATACGAATCATCCGAATTGGTCACTACCATGCGTAAAACACTTCAGAACCCAACTGCTCGCCATTGGCCGCTATCGATCCGAAAAGACCTCCGAATCGCTCTTCAAGACTGTAGATTAATCAATAATAAAATTTTCTATCGCGACCGCCTCTTTGTTCCCCCCTCCGCTGAGCTTCGCACCCAGATCATATACCGAACGCACTCCACTGGTCCGGCAGGACATCCCGGTCGAGTTAAAACTATTGATCTCGTCTCCCGCACATACTGGTGGCCCAATATGTCGAGGGAAATCGAAACTTACGTACAAGCCTGTCAACTCTGCTTCCGAACCAAAGCCTCCCGTCTTGCCGCACCCGGATTCCTAGAACCCCTGCCAGTACCATTCCGCCCCTGGTCCGATATCTCCATTGACTACATTACACCGCTACCAATCAGCGAACGCTATGGCAAAAAGCATCAACATATCGTCACAGTTGTCTGCCGCCTAACGAAAATGCGTCATTTCATCCCGGTTATAGGACTGTCCGCAGAGGAGCTCGCCGATCGGTTCGTCGAAAAAGTCTACTGCCTACACGGTGCACCTGACAATATAGTATCCGATAGAGGTTCACAATTTATATCAGAATTCTGGAAGCACTTATCCGAGCGTCTATCGATCACTTTGAAACGATCCTCCTCGTTCCACCCCGAGTCCGACGGACAAACAGAGAGGATCAATGCCATGGTAGAACAATATCTTCGGGCTTTTATGAACTTCCACCAAGATGACTGGTACGATTGGCTCCCACTCGCGGAGTTTGCGCTTAATAATACCACCTCAGAGACTACCGGCGTATCCCCATTCTTCGCTAACTACGGTTTTCACCCACGCCTCGGCGTTGAGCCCTCTTCACCTGTTCCCCCAAACCTATCATATCAACGCAAACGCGAGTTCCTAAAGGCCAACGAGATTGCGGACCGATTTGATATCATCCTAACAAAATTGAAAGCCCTAGCCGCTCAATCCATTCAGAGATATGAAGATTACGCTAACAAGACTCGCACCGACGCCCCTCTATACAAAGAAGGTAACAAAGTATGGGTTAGTACTAAGAATATGAAAACCAATCGCCCGATGAAGAAAGGTGATGACAAATGGGATGGCCCCTATAAGATTCTAAAAGTTTATAAACGAGCCTGTCTACTCCAGCTCCCCACTAGTTTTAAGATCTTTCCAGTATTCCACAACTCATTACTCCGACCACTCCACCGCTCACCTGGACTAGCCGGTCAAGAAGCGATCAACGAAGCCGAATCCCGTCGAAACCAAGGCCGTATCCTAGAAAGAGATGACGAAACGAACGAGGAAACCGAGCGGTGGGAATTCGATAAACTACTTGACTGCCATAACGAGGACGGATTTCACTACCAAGTCAAATGGAAACATCACCCAGCATCTTGGCAACCCGCCGAAGACCTTCGCGGCCAAGAAGACACGATCATCGCTTTCCATTTAGCAAATCCAGATAAGCCAGAACCGCCCGCTTGGGTAGGCTTCAAAAGATCTACTACTCCTGATCCCCCGCTAGTACTTACACCAAGCGCACCCCCGAATCGAGGCCGAGGCAGACCTAAAAAGCTCCGGCAATTGATTACTACTCCCAAGAAAGTTCATTTTAATCCAATAGTAGAAATTAGAGTATTTTAGTGTTATTTTGTTTTCTAAAAGGTCAATTGGTATTGCGATCGTGGACCGATCGCCTTGAGCGGGGGGTACTGTCACGGCGCCAACTACATGATCTGTAGTTGCCTTCGTGCCTCAGGCACAGCATACTAGCGCGCCCTACTTCCTATAAGTAGGGCTTCACTCTTCCATAGCTCTTCTACCCTTATGGTACAATATAAGTCTTTACCCGTACCTTGACACCGAGAATAAGTTTTCCATCCCGATTAATCTAAAACCCACATCGAATAGCTATAAATATTTCGAACACTTTCCCAATCGACAACGATCGACCTAATTATTTGTCGATATCTAAATAATATATAAAATAAAGCCCTCTGAAACAGAACCACAAACCTTTAGACAGAATAACCGCAGGATTACTATAAGCGGTATTGAGCGGGGGAATATTAAAGGCAACAAACCCCTGTTTAGCTAACATTACACTACTATAAACAGCTAGAACACTAGTGGCCCGTAGGCCCACTCCTTAATACATCTAGAATACCCCTTGGGAGGTTAGATATTAGATGTTAATCACTATAAATAAATAAATAAATAAATATAATAAGTTTAGGGATAGAGTCAACAGGAGTTTCAGAAAATATAGTTTCCAAATAAGTAGATATAATAAATATGGATTTGATAAGGCAATCAAATAAACAAACGTTTTGAATAGCAATCTGCTTATATAGAATAGCTTAAATACATTTGCGGATTAGGAATTCGGAAATTTCGCATTCAAGTAATCTATTGGTTTTCTCCAGTTCGGTATAATATATAGATATCGATTAAAGGTATTAATATTAAACCTAGGGATTCTCTAATACAGAAACACCAAATTCTGAGAAGTCCCTAGACTGGCCAGACGGATACGGAGTAGTTATTGCAAAAGCGATATTTTAATAAGTAGAAGCTATATAATATTACGAAAACAGATGAATGGAATAGAGTTCTAATAACTTTACTCTAATCTGGCAAAGTTATACTGATTCGAGTAATAGGTTCAGATTGAGGATTAAGATATAGCTTAAAGAGCTACAATACAGGATCTTTTGAATTGAAGATATACGAAATTTTCACAGCGAGCTAGCCCGATCGGGCCCTAGCTCGCTTGCGCTCTGGTGCGAGCGCTCCTTTCGGTCCTCTCCGATAGGACCAGCATATCACGTGAGCTCACACCGTGACAGAATTGATTGATTTAAATAGATCTATTTAGTTATAGATCGAGGCTAAAGGGTATAATATATATAGTTGTATTTACTTATAGATAGTATTTGTGCTTAATAAGGAATAGAATAAGAGCTTCGCATATCTAGCTTTAACCTATATTACCTCAGAGATTTTTGATAAGAATGAAAAGTATTCTTGGCTTCCACAGTGGTGGCTCCTTCAATATGCAATATGACAACTTTTTTTTTATAGATTATGTTAAGATAGATATAGACAGACTATATTGAATATTTCACAAACTAGGCAACCTCTTTTCACACTAGAACAAGCCAGCAGAGGCAAAGAAGATGTATCTTCGAGCGCTGAAAGACATAAAGAAGGAACTTAGACCAAACCATACATCAACATTCGATACAGTCAATAATCTAGTTCTTGTTTATCACCAATAAGGTAAACTAAAAAAGGCTGAAAAGACGTATCTTCGAGTATTGGAAAGCAAGGAGAAAGCATTTAGATCAGATCATATATCAACACTCAATATAATCAACAATCTAGATAATCTCTACACCCAGCAAGGTAAACTAGTAGAAGCAGAGAAGATATATCTTCGAGCGTTGGAAGGCTATGAGAAGACACTTGTACCAAATAACATATCAACACCACTCGGTACAGTCAATAACTTAGGCAGCCTCTATTCCAAACAAGGCACGCTAGCAGAGGCAGAGAAAATATTTATTCGAGCGCTGGAAGACAGTGATAAGGCGCTTGGACCATACCACACATCAATACTTAGTACGATCAATGACCTAGGTAACCTCCATTTCAAGCAAGGCAAGCTAGCAGAGGCAGAAAAGATATATCCTCGAGTGCTGAAAAGCTATGAGAACACTTTTAGCCCTGAAGTTGCCTCGTCTTATCCACCGGCATTGACTACTATGCTCTACCTTGGAGACACTTTCTCGCAAACTGACCGGAAAAATATAGCACAGCAGATATATAATCAAGCACTATCTGGATACACAATCTTCAAAGGACCTTCCTCAAAATGGTCTAGGCAGATTGAAGAACGGCTTCAAGCGTTGCAAATTGTACCTGCTGCATCGAATATAATTGAAAACGAGTTTCCGGTATCTGAAATAGCAAGTTCAAAGTCTGTAAAAAGGAAATCCGTAGATTATGAAGGCGGCTAAACATTAGATAAGCCACAGAGGCTTCTTTCTCATGAATCTACCATCATCTAACAGGTATTGGTGTAGGTAGAGACAGCAGATCGGATCTCTTTAACTTCTGGTCTAGAATCGATCTGGTGATCGCCGTTGCAATAATCCTAACCACAATCTCAGCAACTCTTCGAATATTGGTGATGACCTCTTTTGAAAGGGAACTGGTGAGGCGAAGCAATAGAAGCACTTAGGTCATTACCTCGATCAGAAATGAATATACCATCAATGCTTTATTCTACATCAAGGCAATCCATATTAAGGTTTCAACTTTCGGCCTTGAAAGGAAACGGGCTTATTAATCAGGAACGTGCCGAAGTCTTGTCCCCTTCGTAGATGAGCGTAATGTCTTGGCGTACGTCACTACTTCCACCCCACATGCACAATTAACCCTCATGGAAATTATCCAACCAGAACGTTCCATCCAGCCCCATGCTACCCCTCTAAACCGGATTCGTAAATATGCTCAGCAACGACGACACGGCGAAACCAAGCTTCAGTTCAAAGAACGGAAAGAATCAAGGCACATAAGCCGCTGATGCACTAGTAAATGATGGCGTTTTTAGTATACGGAAGGGTATATAAGTCCCCTCATTTACGACTTGGCTTGACTTCTATTCACCAGCACTAATAACTTCACACTCAATCAACACTCAAGCAACTACACAACTTTTCAAACACCCAAACACTCAAATAAACCTCATCACAATGGATTTCGTCAAAGGTGCCCTCAAGAGTGGATCAGGAAGCTCAGGAAGCACTGGTAATACCAACCAAGCTGCTGGTGGTGCCGGAAAGGAGGATTATGGTGATAAGGGTTTGTTTTCCCCTCTCCCCCTCTCTCTCCTCATACTTTCGACGTACTTCGCAATTGGCAGTCTACAATCGATAATCTGCGAATATCATGTTGACAATGTACTCAGCTCTCGACTTCATCGAGAAGAAGACCGGCCACACTATGACCCGCGATCAGAATGAGAAGATCACCGACGGTGCCAGAGGGTTGTATGAGAAGCAGACTGGGTACGGTCTTTCATCTCTCCTATTCTTGCAACCCATTCCATATGCTATGGATTTCACTAACATTACCCCGCATGTAGATCCCAAGTCAACCCTAAGTTCTCCAACTAGATTACGATGTTCATGATGCATGATGGGAGGCCAGGGAGGATTGATGTTATACCATAGTTATGATTGGATGGGGTTTGGGATGGAATGGAATGGGTTATGGGTCATTACGAGATTTAATGAATTGATACCACACAACAATGTCCCACTTCTTCGTGAAGATCAAAGTGATCAATGGAATATTTGATTGATGCATAGCGATGAAATGGGATCTGAAGTCAGAATTTCCATTCTCATGGCCATCATGCCCCAGTAATCCATTCTTGTAAAATTGTTTCACCAGTTCCATTCATTGATCCGGCCAGCCCTCTCTCCAATGATAGACAATGCAGCTATTGCTTTTCCACACGATCGGTAGATAATTTAAGTATGATAAATACTAGCTTCTTGTCCGGCTCGTTAATTATATTATCGAGAAGGTTAGGGGAGCTTGGAGGGGTAAGTTCTGCGTGACTGGCATTATCTTCATGGGCCAATTACGCGTATGTGAGGCTGAATCCCACTCTTCGTTGCTTACAATGACAATCCCGGTGCCAAACAGCCCATGCTACATATATTTTCAGGCTAGCCCATCACCCGGCGGCATAGTAAGATTGTTCTTCGCCTTATTAGGTCGATAGGTTATGAGCCTTTCAACTGGTCACGCGCCGTTGTCATGATACGTAAGATTAAATCGCATCGCCTTCGAATATGGATATTACCTGCGATAGGATCTAGTAATTGTTATAAATTGTTTGCTGTACAAGTCTCCTGGCAGTATCAATGCTTTAAATATCCAGAACACGCACAAAATGAGTAATCTAGGAGAATACATCGACACAGCATCAACATTCGGGTCTTCACCCCTCTTAGTTTCTCCGTCAGGTGATACTATCCCTCTCTCGACTGGATATATCCCTCTTCTTACAAACTATACATTGGAAGACGAATCTAGAAAAGAACTTCGAAAAGAAAATAAAGATGTCGAAAAAGATTCTCTGAACTACTTCTCAGCACTCGAACTCATACGTGATAATCAGTTCCTGCTACTCACCGGGCCCAGTGGGAGCGGCAAAACGACTTTCGCAAAACATCTTGCTTTTTGCCTAGCGACTACCACTACGAAATCAGTTGGAGGTGGTTTTATTGCGAGAAATGGGCCAACTGATGTTCAGAACGAGTTTTGGGAGTTTGAAAATTCCGACATAATACCTTGCTACTTTCCCATCTCCAGCGTCTCTCAATTCTCAATATTGCTTCTGGAAACGCTACCTCAACTTATTGAGAGCTGCAAGGATAGTAGCAAACCAGCGTGTCTATTGATCATTCGTGATTCTATCGAGTCTCTTGGAGAAGAAGGGCCACAACTTTTAAGGTCTATGGTCCATCTAATCCAGAATCACGAACAAGCTTCTATAAAACTACTCGTCCTTGGAGAAAGCAGCATCGTGAAGAATTGGATTTTAGGCTCCGAAATAAGAAGACACGATATACTACCACTTTCTCAAGTCAAGAGACGCATGTTCTTGCGCAATATAAATGGCACCAATATCGAATACGAAGATATCGAGATTGAAATCGGTGAAGCGGCAAGTCTCCCAGCATATTTTGCGCTTGCGTTAGAGACCGCTCATCATGGAGGAAAGGCAGAGGATTTATTGGATGAATGGCTCCACGTTGTGCTTTCTGAAAACTATAACGATAGAAGAATCACACGAGAGGCATTGGAGCATTCAGCCCAGGAAGCGGAGCAGGGCATTCAAACTCCATTTTCGTGTAGATTGACGATTAGGAATCCAGCGGTCTTCTCGAAAGCAATACAACACTTATTAGCTGCGCACCAGCTTGTTGAAGAGGACACACAAGTAGCTATTGATCTATTTAATCAAAATCCTTTTTTGGCAGAACCGATTATTCGCAGTTGGTTAGTACGCCTTAGAGATGTAGGAAGCCCAGAGCTACTTAAATCTCTTGAGGGGCTGATTGCAGGTTCTGGAGCAAATGCACAACTAGGCGCGCTACTAGTTTCAGATTTCATCTCTTCGTCCAGTCCACTGCATCAACGAGTTTCCAATCACATACTAGCGATTATCAAAGAAGGCATATTACCCATTACCCAAAGACTAAACGCCGGCCGTACAATTTCTCTACTTGGAGATCCTCGAGATCTAACATCCCTCACCACCGTTCCTTCCAACACATTCACAATTGGTTCTTCCACCCACCCAAATTCATCACCTCCCCATTCTATCACCATTTCCTCGTACTGTATCGGCGTCTTCCCAGTTGTGAATCGAGAATATGCGATTTTTATCAAAGAAACGGGACGGAACTGGAATAGTCCTGATGGTTTATCCCCCTCTAAAGATAATTTCCCAGCTACAGATCTCACCTGGTACGATGCGCGCGCGTATTGTACCTGGTTAACAGCACGCTGGCAAGCATCCGGGAAGATTGCTCTCGATGAGGAAGTCCGTTTACCCACTGAGCCGGAATGGGAAATTGCTGCTCGAGGTTCTCAGGTATCTGGCAATGAAATAGAATCATTGTATCCATGGGGCACAGAATGGAACGCAGGTTATGTTAATTACAAAGATTTACCATTCACCGAGCGATGTTCCGTTGGTTTATTCCCTAAGAATATTTCTCCATTCGGATGTTTCGATATGGTGGGGAATGTGTGGGAATGGTGCAGTACATTGTGGGGTGAAGATGTGAGTACATCATCTTTTTCATATCCCTATCAAGGAGATGATGGGCGGGAAAATGCAGATGCGGATGCGAAAATTAGAAGGGTGATAAGAGGAGGATGTTTTAGTAGTTCGAGGGAAGAGGTTTCTTGTACGTGTCGTGGGAGTCTTGAACCGATGGAATGGAGACGCGAGAATGGCTTTAGAATTGTGGTTGCAAATACACGAAAGTAAATTGAGTTGTTGGAGATATAGGTGACTCTATTTTGCTGTGCACAAGTATATGATTGTTCTTTTGGGCGTTGCGATGATCATTTGTTAAAAGTGCATTATTAATGCGGAGCTGAGAGTACTCCAAGCCAAGAAGTATTGACAATTATTGTGAGACTATGAAGTCATGATCAGGTCAAAGAAGTGCGAAAATGAGGTCCTTCACAAATTAATAAGTGTTGTCCGGTTCATCGCGAGAAAAAGAGTTCCCCTCTTCCAAGATGCTCTAAGGTCGTATCTAGAGTCTATGAAGCCTGAATAAATTGATTCAATATACGTAACGATGTATTGAGTTGAAAGCAAGAATTACATGGTAAATCTCTTCATATATTCGAGAAATTACCCCAGTCGGGAATAAAATACCAAGGGCAGTCGCGGTATCACCTCCTGTTATTGTGGACACTGGAGAGTCTCAATTTTCTTTAAAATTGTGCTAATAACTGTGTAGTGCGATATTTCTCAGTTGTTGGAGTGAAGAAAAGAATACAAAACATTGTAAGCCATCGTTCGTCGAATTTGTGACAAATAAAAACCTATCCCATTGACTATGATCTAGCAATGTAATCAGCACACCAAAGCCGCAAACCGATATGATTGAATGTCTTCTTATTGACCCGGTGGAGAACCCAAATGGGTGGATAAGAGCAGGCAGAAAGAAATCTCATGACCCTTGGAGATTTCCTGAATATCCAAAGGAAGAAAACAACTCCCAGACTACATAAAATAGCAGCAACTATGAGAAAAACTTTCCACGAAGCGCCACTGCCAGTCATCTCACTGATGTTCATACCGAAAAAGGATGTTACCAAAGAGAAAGGGAGAAATACGAAGGCAAGGATCGAGAGTCTCCCTAGCGAATTTGCCTTCTCCAGCGACTTCCTGGATTCCTTCAGAGAAAGATTTCCAACGTTCATTTGTAAAGTGTCGCGGACATGTTGTTCTAATCTATATGCCTCCTGTAATGACTTTCTATGTTGCCGTAACATATTCTTGATTTTTTGATTGTCATTATGACCATACTCAATTACACCCTGAGCTATCATTTGATCCTGATAGTCCTCGATCCTTGAAGTGATCTTCTCAAAACTTTCCAGAGACCCGCGACCATTATGCCATGCTTTCAACAAAGTGTCGTCCTGGTGAGCTCGGGATACAGCAGATAGTTTATAGTCGAGATCAGAGATCCATGATTGAAGACTCCAGTTCATATATTCGACATCTCGAGAAAAATAATCCTCCATGTCTTTGATTACTGGTACCAAGAGCTCCAAAGGGTTTTTTTACCGCGGATTCGACTTCTGAGTTGGTCATTCCACCCCAAAGTCGAGTGATTGCGTGCAAAAATTCTTCGGCTGTCTTAGGAATTCCTCTGTCTTTATCCACATTGCGAAAGAGAAGTTTATGGTAGTTGATAACCACTATGGTGTGTCAGTTTTGCATAAAGTATTAGTTTGAATTTCAACAAACCAGTATTAAAAGTCGCATTTTTAATGCAGTAGACCGTGCAACAGGGGGTTGAGTGCTCTGTAGAATATTCGAATCCGAATTTTAAATATTGTTCAACTCCGTCAAGTTTTCCACCCGCGGCCCATGAGGACCTGTCTTTTGGATAGCCCCCTATTGGATCCAGTACATGATAGAAGAAAGAGGGCAAGGCCTTATACAAACTTCTTAGAATCCCAACCGTGGCGGGATGGACTATTTGTGGTCGGTAAAATTCTCTGTAATTTCGCTTGGAGATGGAAATATCACACGTCAGGAAAAGAATCACTCTTGTATGTCTCAGAGGTGGAATATTCCTGAGTTTGCTATTGAACGATGACTTGGAATGTTCAGTATCGAAGATGAATTTGCTAGATTCAGGAAGGACGCCTGCGTCGGAACTCATGTCATTGATGATAGCCCAGCCACCATCGTGAGCATGACTGTCGGTGGTCAGAATTTCGGAGCCGATTGCGGAATATCTGTGCACATTCAAAGTTAGCTTGCGTGCAAATCATATTCTATCGATTGTTGATATGTACCTGGGGTCTTCCTTCGCAAGTTCCGAACCTTTTTCCAAATACGGGAATTGTGCCTGGGAATTTGAAGGATGAGAAGCCATGTTTCCGGATACAAATTTCGTGTTACTTGAAGCCGTAAGTATAGTGTATTGTGTGTCAGGATGAATTAGAGTGATTGCTAAGTATTTATCCTCCAGGAAATCGGCCAGCTCAGCTTGAGCCTTGGAATACCCCACATTAAAAAAACTCACACGTACCGTTTGTGGTACCCGTCACCAATCATCTTGTAATTTACCACCTGTGCCTGTGAGTGGAGTGTGGCATACTTTCTGGCCGCACGAGGGCCTGAATAAATGCTAAGTTTTGAAGTTGGGAGATGATCAAGAGACCAATACGCAGTTTAGAGGCGACTTTGTGATTCTGCAGTCATGAAATGAACATTTGATGATTTGTTGTCTACGAGCATAAAGATTTGTCCATCTCCCTCATCAACTTAATTTGGCTCGGGTCAATAAATGGTAAGATTCTTGATCTGTTACTTATATGGTTCTTGAAATGGCAGCTCTTGGTGCTAGTTTGAATCACAGTAATTGCGAAGTGAATGAAGTCATTACAGAAGTGTAACTGTGGAAATAATTGATCCCAAAGATCCGCCCTTGCCAGAAATTTGCGGTCATATCACCGTTTTGCATGGATGGTTGGCAGAGCCTAGAGTTTTTGGCTAAACCATAGTTAAGTCTGACGATACAAAGCAACTTTGCAAGTGAAATGATTGAAGAACTTGCGAAGGTGGAACAGGATAAAGCTCTTCAGAAGTGTCGGTTATGGATACTATCATTTTGTCCAAGTTGAGAATTTTGGCAATGAAATTGCGATACCATCAATCACTTGTAATTGCGTTATATTGAGGTTTGGAATAGATTGTAGAGTGTGATTGCTGATTGTGACCATCGGGCTTTAGGATAGAGATAACGGCTGGTTGATTCGATACCCAGCGTCGAGCGATAAGCTAGCTGTAACTGCCATTGGTTGTGTCAAAATTGATTATGGCATGTGTGAATATCCAGCTGCATAATATTCTCCAACAGATGATAAGTAAGAACTTCAGGGGAATGATAGCCTCTAAACATAGACAAATGTTTGACTGATACAGAACAGTCCCGATAAGATGGTAGCGAGAGTCTTACATGCAAGTGAGACAGGCATTCAGTAGGATTTTGAATGAGACGATAGGATGACTTCATTGTAATGAGTCCATGAAAACACACTTTACTACTCCGTAAAGTGCAAGGCCAAAAGGAAAAACTTTTCTTCTCGGTGATAACCCTAAGATTCAGGTTGAAAAAACGACCTGTCCATACAGTGTATCCCTTTGATGCCATTGTGAATAGGAGACCACAGATCTCGACTACAGATCTCGACTACAGATCTCAACTACAAGACCTGTATAATCAGACAAACAGACGAAACAGCATGAACCTCTATACGACTGTAAACACAAGAGCCGTCGCTTATTCGTCAAATACTGTGTTAATTGTATTGATACCCGATACCTGCCCAGTCCTTGCAGTGTGTCGAGAGAGAATGTTGGCGTTATGGCGGGGTGAAATGTTTTGAGTTCTCGCCCACGCGAGCTTGGACTCCTTCAGTAGCGTGTGTTTGGGTACGAGGGTAGATTTTGATAGTCCGTGCAGCTTTGACGGGTGTGAAACATTGTTGGTCGCCCTGACAAAAACTGACCCCGGTAACATTGAACCGAATGTTTTCTAGACTTACCGATACTAGGCATTGATAGACTTTCTTGTTGACCAACGAATAACGATTTTATATGCACGTCAATTATTGAAAAGATCACAGCGGAGCAAAAAGTGAACATCGAAAACCTCTTGATTGATATTCTATGAATATTGCGGCAACGAGAACATGCTATACAAACCATACGATCAATTCTCATTACCTCACCAACTCCTAGACTTGTTCGTTGCTGCTATCATCAATTCAGCCAGTTCAATTTATCCACTACGGTCGAGCGCATTACTCCTGACGAAAAGAACACAGCATACAGCATAGCATACGAAACCTGCGACCAAGTACAAATCGATATACAGCGAATGCGACGCGTTGAACTATCTGCAAGGCAAGATGGCGGAGGGAGATGATTACACAATGTCGAGTTTGTCAACAATGTCGGAAACTGATTCACGGCCACGAACTGCACGACAGGATTCGGAAAATGAAGCTTTTACATTTCATAATATTGGCGATTTAATGGCAGATAGAAGTGATAATGACGATTCGATATCTATGAACTCACAAGCTTTCGAGCAGAATAGTCAAACGGAATCTTACGACCATAGGAATTTACCTACTCTGTCCCCTCCCACTGATAGCAGTGTACTTTATGCACATAGCGACAACGGAGATAATCAAAGTGAGGGTCTGCTGAGTGCCGTGGATGCAAAGGCAATGGAACAACACTTGGACAATGTCGAATCAAGTTTCCTCCCGAGTGTTTCACCAATTGGTAAACATGGCAAGGCTGGTGCCGATGATACATATTTGTTTGATGCGGGTCGGAATGGTGAAGAGTCCCCTGCAATGGAAGCACAAACTCCTAAGAAGAAGACATTTGGAATTAATGAAAATGGGGGCCATGGTTCTCCGACACCCTCTTCACCTCCCACTCCAGATGGTGCATACAAAACTCCAGGCCCTGCCCCTCGATATTCTGTGCAAGGAGAACACGATGATTCGGAACAAATTGGAAACACGACTTCTAACCTCGAAACTCTTTCGTCGTCCCCAACTGCCGCTGCCGCTGCAAGGACCATATCTCGAGCCATGTCAATGGCAAGCATGGGAGAGAATTTCGAAACAGCAGCACAATCCACCTCTCAATCACAGCAACAATCAGATGAGGAAGAGGATATGGAAGCCACACCCACAAGATCGCGCCAAAATTTACGTGCATTTGTCCAATCGGTGAATGATAGCTCAAGCCTACCCCATGACTCACCGGCTAGGAGTACAAACAAACATTTAACAGTCGATGCCGGTACGACCCCAGGGGCCGCACTTTCAACACGCAATACAACTAGACCCAAATTTCTCACCAGTCGACATTCAAGTCAGCGATCTTCTGTGTCCTCTTTTATACAAATTCTGAGAATCAAGACGATCGAAGCGATGTGACAGTTGGTGCAGATTATGCTTTGCAATCCGGAGGCGCACTTCCTTCCGGGGGGTTATCCAGAAGTGGAAGTATGACTTTATCTAGGACTATAAGCTTGGGAAGTATGGCATCTGGTATTGACGAAGGCGGAGATTCATTTGGAAGAGTGGAGGGACCATTGGCGACACTAGCCGAAGAAGATTCAACCCGTGGGAGGAGTGAAAATCAGACGAATTCTGCTCCAGAAACACCTCGTGCATCTAGTCGACCCATGGACCCACCTACTGATACAATCATCGCACGCCACGTTCGCAATGTCCAAGTGCCCGAATCAATGGCTAAAGACTTTCGTACGAAGCATGGCGTACACACACCCAGCAAGTCGGCAAGCTTTGCAGCATCCGCTCTGGGCCAAAGAACTGGTAAAAATCTGACTTTGAAGGAACAGAGCAGCACGATCGAAAGACTATCTAAGGAGAATTTTGACTTGAAATTGAAAGTTATGTTTCTCAGTGATCGATTAGACAAGCTTTCTGAGGAAGGTGTTAAGGAAATGATATCTGAGAATGTTGAGCTCAAGACAGGTCTAGCCGTCATGCAAAGAGATAACAAAGCTCTTCGTAAAAAGGTAAAAGACCTTGAGAAACAACTCAAAGATGACGAAGACCGACCATCCACAGCTCGATCAGGTACATCTACAGAAGGAAGTCAGAAGTGGTATCAAGAAGGCGCTTTTGAACGGGAGGAGGAGCTTCTTTACTTACGAGAGAAGGTTGAAGAATATGTGACGGAAATTGAGAGGTTAAGGAATGAGAGTCTTGCTCGGGAAAACGAGAAGAGAAATCTTACCGATTTGGTTCGTACAATGGGTGAAAGGCGAGGTCAAGATATTGAAACACGTGAAGAAATGGATGTCTGGAAAGATCTCCTTGAGCAAGAAACTGCCCGCAGAGAGCAAAGCGATGATGAGATAAAGGCTCTTCGGGAAGAGATTTTCCGACTGAAATCAGAGACGGCTACCGGAGGACAAGGATTGGGTCACACGACCCATATTTACAACATCACAAAGAGACGCGTCGGATCACCTTCGAGATCAAATTCCAATATGTCTGATCGCATGACAGATGATAGGAATGGTACATATAGCTCAGCAAGCACGTTAGCCGAGGAGATTAAACGGGATAATGAACAACTTCGACATGAAAATGCAGAGCTAAGACGAGAAGTCGGAGCACAGACATCAATGCTGACTTCAAGAAACCGCGAAAAAGAACGGCTTTATCAAGAAATCGAGGAGTTAAAGCTTGGCCAAAGAAGAGGTGGTACATCGGTGGCCGGCGAGAGCATATTTGAACGATCAGCATCACGAGCACACGAACGATCCTCATCCAGGACTAGTGCGGGTACAAGACAGACGAGTATGAATGAGGCTGAACGCGAAGATTTCGAGAACAAGCAAGCCGAACTTCGAGACAGAATTAACAGCCTCAAGATACATAATCAGGACTTACAACGTGAACTCGAGTCTTGTATGGAAGATTTTGAGACTGCCGTGGAGCACAAGAAGGAAGCCGAAGGTCTAGCTCAAGAATTACAAGAAGCCTTGGATGTTGCCGAGAATGATCTACTCACCATGCAAGCAGACCGAGATGAAGCACTTCAGGGTCAAGAAGAAGCCGAGCTAATGTTTGAATCTTTACGTAAAGAAGCTCAAGAAGAACTTGATGGCTTTGCTGCAGAACAAGAGGAAGCTAACGCTGAGATTGAACGTCTTTCGGCCGAGGTCGCTGATGAGAAAGAGAACTTCAATGCGTTGCAGAATGAGATGAGAGAGATGAGTGATATAGTTGTTAGACTGGAGGATGATCACGAAAGAAAATCTAAAAAGATTCAAGATCTTGAAAGAGAATTGGATGAAGCCAATAGAGAACTTGAGGAAATCGAGAAGAATTATGTCGAATCTAACGAAAAGGTGAATCGATTGAATGTGCAGCAAGAATCGAGTCAAAATGAAATTGCATTCCTTCGAGAAGAACAGGATGGAGATAAGATCAAGATTGGGGATCTTGAGGCCGCTATTCGGAACTTGGAGAATGCTCTTCATGAAGAGCAAGAACGTTCTAGAGAACTTGATGAACGTCTTCATGAGGAAAGACATCAAAGAGAAATTGTTGCTAGTCAAGAAAAGCAAGAAGTTCAACAATTCGTCAATGATCTTAATCGTGAAGCAACGACCGCCAAGGATGAAGCTAGAAGATTACGAAAGAATCTTACTTCAAGAGAAGTGGAAGCTGCAGAGTGGAAACAGAGGCTTATGGAACTTGAGAGTAATCTCAGGGAAGCCCTTGGTGATCTGAATGGTACCAGGTCAAGTCTATTGAATGTAAGTTTACCTCATTTTATTCTTTCATGGGTTCTCAACTAATTTCTACAGTCCATTGCAAAACTTCAACGTGAACTCGAAAATACCATTCGAGATTTAGACTCCACCAAAGCTTCTCTCGCCGAAAAGGAACGTATGATCAAACAACGTGATGACCTCTTGGAGTCTCACGCTCTTGAGTCCCGCAAACTGGCAGATATGCTAGACAAAGAACGACAAACCCATCGTCTCACCAAAAATCAATACGAAACATCTCAAAAGACATCCTCTCACACAACTCGCACTCTCTCACAACAAGAATCTCGTGTTCTAGAACTCGAAACTTCACGTCAACAAGATAGGAGAAAGATAGCACAGCTAGAAAACAATTTCAAAGAACAACTTACGGAGAGAAATAACTTGCTCCTAGGTCTATGGGGTAGACTTTCAAGTCTTTGTGGTACAGATTGGTCTCATAATAATTCCCTCATTAACGGTCGTGCACTTCCATCTCTCGAGGCTGTTTCTACCATGTTCCCAGGTTTCTCAAAGAACTTGTTAGCGGCAGTCAAAACAATCGAAACATTAGTTGGTGATTTCAGAGGAAGAGTCAAGGATCTAGATAGGAGATTGTGGAAAGAATACTCGACCCTTGAAAATCGATTTGAGATGCAGACGAAGAAATTGGATAGATTGGAAACGATGGCGAGGAGTGCAGTTCCATTTAGTAGTATGGATAGTAGGGCGGAGGTGGTCAAGTTGAAGGACTTGAATAGGTCTTTGAAAACGGAAATATCAAGTTTAAAGGCTGCCAATGAAGTCAGATCTGGCGCTTACGAAACTTCTACTTCGCCATCACCATCTATTCCCACTGGACCTCGTCGTCGCATCGATAACTCTTTATCCAGATCCTCAACCATGACACGTCACTCATCTGCAGCTTCAAATTCTCGATCCCAATCTCAGGCAAATGGAGAGATGAATACACCAACGCGGTCAAACACGTTGACGCGAGTTGAAAGTAGTACAGGTGAATCAAGAGAAGAGGAATACAAACCTGATTTGCGCTGGCAAGTTAGATTACAGGAATTGGAGTATAAGTTGAAGGCGGAAAGAGAAGCGAGGAAATTGGATCGTACGAGTGCGGCGCAGAGATTGAGGGAGAAGGACAGGGAGAATAAGGAATTGCAGGAGGAGATGGAGAGGGGGAGGGTTAGAGGGGATAGGGGAAAGTGAAGGCGATAAGGGGAGGCTTGTTGAAGTCGAGAAAAAAACGTGGTGGATTAGGGGAAGGGAGTTGAGTGAAGATAGGAAGGAGTATAGGCGTAGGTGAATGGAAAAGGCGAATAGGAATGGGAATGGGAAAGGAAAAATAGACTCATGAGGGTTATATCAAAGAGATGGTATGAATGGCGTTTTCGGCTCTGGTGATATCTTTCTTGGGTGTACGTATGCATGCACCCTATATGTAGCACAGCAAGCACAGCGCGGCGCATGGCGTTTGGCGTTTAATGTGGGTCAGGATGCGGATGTGAGGGTGAATGGGGATGCGAAAGGTAGACAGTACTCGTGCTCATACTCGAATGGGGAGAGGAGAGGAGAGAAGGGATAGGAAATGAATAAAATGAAATGAAATACAATTCAATAACATTCAAGAAATGAAATGAAGTGAAATCCAATAATATTCAATAAAATACAAATGATTATCTATCTATCTACCTACCTATGTATCTATCTATCTGTCTATTTATGAGAACTTAGAAGTGAAACACGATACTTTTATTAATATTATTTGAGATGATACGAGTGGAGCATAGTAGAGTAGAGGAGTAGAGGAGTAGAGGAGTAGAGGAGTAGAGGAGTAGAGGAGTAGAGGAGTAGAGGAGTAGAGGAGTAGAGGAGTAGAGGAGTAGAGTAAACTCGTATATTTCTATTTATTTTACAATAAGAATAATAAAAATAATAAAAATAAGAATAATCCATCCATCATACTCACCACCTACAGTTCAGAGAAAAGAATAATATAGAATAATATAGTATAGTATAATATAGTATAGCATAATATCTACAGTATAGAATAATTACTTCGTGTTGGGACAGGGATCATGTGACCGCGCTAGCGCCCCGGCACTACAGCATATACGTTCGTAGCCCTTAGCTTTCAGAACCTCAAGCAATATTACAACAGTGTGAATCATTAGTACTATATTGACTTCACCATCCCCATGGTGATACCAACACTTCGAATACATACCTAGCTATCTAGTTTCGATAGAGTATTTAAATTTAACTACTTACTTATATAGGTAATTAATCGAAACATTAGAAGTTCCTGAGAACATGTATATATGTGATTTTTATTATATAGCTAAGATCCTTAAAGAGGTACGTAGATAGATAGGCAAATAAATAGATAGGTAGATAGGTAATTATCAAGAATCATTATTATAATTATAAATCTTGACGGCTTCCTAAGTAACTTTCCCTCGCCTATTATCCATTCTCCCAATCAATCATACAAGATACAAGACAAGAGCTACGCGATATTTACGTATTAGTTTATTTATTCACTCGTAAATTTTCAATATCACAAAGAATTTACACACATCTAAACTTTGAATCTAATCCATTTCATTTCATCTCATCTCATCATTGAGATTCTTTCCATCTAATCTATGGGTATAATCACTACAAGTACCGTACTCATTTCCTCCTTAATTTTCGCCTATTTTCGCTCATCACAAAAAGATAATCCTCGCTCAAAAATCAAGACAAACACACCCCCCTTTATCTCTCTTCGTCCCTTTTATCTTCCTCTCTATCAACCGTCTTCGTCTTTCCGGTCTAAAAACCCGTTCTCTTCAACACTCCCAAAATTTCAATACCAAAACGCCCCGACTCATTGTTTGAGTCATTTCCATTACACCATTCGCCACCCGCTTGGGATTCCTCAAAAACGCTATTTTGCATGCCATACGCATGTAATTTTCCCTATGCCAGTCATTTTCCCAGCCGAAAAGAATGAAAGCCCTATTCCATAAAACGAAACGAAATCGAAGAAACCTCCCCACCTCACTCCTCAACCACCGTTCCTCACTCCTCTTCTCACAAATCCATCACAAAAGATCCTTCACAAATCCCAAATTTGCTCTATTATCATTAGAGACGCGTGCGTACTCCAACAATAACCTCAACACATAAATCTGCATATCCTCTCTCCTCAATACTTTGTTCGCCCACTCTTGTCCTGCCATTGCAATCCTCTCCGCTTCCTTATCATGTCCTTCAATTCTAAAGTTCTCTCCTTCATACCCTAAGAAATATTGCATGATACCATAAAAATCCATATATCTATTATCCATTGGTACGAAATGCTTCCAAGCAATAAGTCGTGAGTCGTGCCATTCGCGGAAAATGGTTGCTTTGATTGGTAAACTGGAAGAAAGTAAGAAACCTCTATATCTTCCTGAGAAGGAATTGCCATCAATGTCAGGAATGTACTTGTTCTTGAATTGTTCACTCATTTTCCGTCCTTCCTTGATCGAGAAATACGGATCCGTATATGGACATATCCCATCATCTCGATTTTCATTACACATCAATTCGATAAATGCTGTATCAGACCATTCATGTACCCAATCCCCCAATCGATTTTCTTGTTGTGCACCGATATTATACATCGAAGTTGGAAGGGCGAAATTTGGAGGAATCGTTTCCCAAGATTCGGCTCGAGATACTGATGTATGATTTGTCGTGGAGACGAAGCGATGTCGTTGAAATCCTTTCCAGTTATCTTCTTTGTTTCGTCCTCCGGTAGCGACACCTCTCCAGATGGCCTTGTTTAATTTTTGATGCCAAGGAACTCCATGATCATCACCACCTGTGAATCTCTCCTCTTTCACCCAATACATTGGTGCCGGTAATAAAATTTCGTTATTTGTTGGAAGTTTAGAACCACCGAAAAGAGGATATAACTCTTGAGTTGAAGAAATTGAGAGAGGATTAATCATCATTCCGTGAAGAGATTGTAAATCTGGTTGATGACAAAAATCGGCCGAGAGGCTATAATTCGAAACATAACCTTTAAAGGTATGTAAAGAAGAATGACCCATGGAAATAGCAGGTGTTTTCGAAAAGTCCGTCATAACCTCAGCTCGGCGTGCAAGACTATCTGGATGACAACCCCTGGTAGCGATTTTCCAATATGGACCTATTGAAGTCAACAAACCAAACACAAAATCTCTCATCGTCTCAACATACCTGAAGTTTCCCATTCTCTCTTGGGTGCGTCTGGTTCCCCACTTCCAGAACGTCTTGGAGCAGGCAAACTTCCGTAATCCTGAGAGACTACATTGACATCTGCAAGTTGCCTCGTAGCTCTCTCCACTTCCATATTCTCATTAATCAATTCCCATTGAGCCACCATTCTTGGTTCATCCATAGCATTGAGTGGGATATCCATATCTGGCAAATCTTTTTGTATGGTTCCAATCAATTGCAACCAAATTTGTGTCCAGAACCAATCACTATCTGCCGTTGCATTACCATTTCGAATACTTATCACCATGCCAGCATCTCTAGCTTGCGTTCTCATTCTTGCGGGAGTCACACCCCAATATGGACCTAAATCATGATATATTTGATCAAAGAAATCCTCGACCATGACGGCATCATTGTCTTGGGCAAATTTAAACCATGCATCAAATCCTGGGGGTGGATGTCTCCCTCTTCGTTTGCGATATTCTGCAGCGGCGGCATTAATATCGTGACTTTCTTTTTGCAATAATTCATCAAACGTCTTTTCTGCGTCGGCGATTAAAGTATCGATAGGATGTTCTTGCTTCGGTTTGGCAATGGGTAATTCGTTATTGGAAAGAGATTCCGAGTATGGTGTGGAAGATACTTTGGATGTTGGAGGATCAGGTACTGTGGGGGTTACATATGTGAAAGATGGCGATTCTGATGAACTTTTAAAGTAAAAGATTAGGAGAAGGATTCCTATTGCGCCAATGATATATCGTAGGAAACCTCCGGCTCTTCTAGGGGGGCCAGGGTACGTCATGAGAATGGGTGAAGATAATGGCATTCTTCAATGATGATATATGATTGTGAGAGAATTGGTTAAGAGAAGGGCCAAGGAAGCAGTATAGAATTTGATAATGGTCGACCAATTGTCGAAATCGAAAGGGCAATGGCAGTGTCAATGGCAATGACAATCGCAATTGAAATGATCGATATTGAATCTGGACCCTGAGTGTGAGTGGATAGCTTGGAAATTCGCGACGAGCCGAAGCTGTAAGATGGCGTTTGCGGGAGGATCGGGTGGACTAGATTTTGGATGGAAATCTAACTCAAGTCGGAAAGGATGGCGTGGAAAAGAAAGACCGTTGTGAAAAGGACGTTTGAGAAAGGGTTGACGGTTACAGGATAGAAAAAAGAAAAGAATGTCGAGGATAAGAATATCCAGTAGAGATGATTGAGAAAAAGAGTGAAGAGTGAAGAGTGAAGAGTGAAGAGAGATAATGTTGAAGTGGTGGATGTTGATCAATTAACTTTCTGATTTCTTCGTTTGGTCGTTTGTTCTTTCTTTCCTGGGACTTTCTGTGTGAAAGGTGCCGCGTTGACAGCTGCAATTAAGTGGAGATGGGATGGGATGAGATGGATATAAAGGAGAAGAGTGAGAGTGAGAGTGAGAGTGAGAGTGATGCGATCGATATGATACGATCCTCCAAGAATGAATGAATGACAGAATGATAAATGAATAAATGAATGAATAGAGTGTAATGTCTCCCTCGAAAATCCCTTGAAAGGTTTAGATCATAATCGTTTCGTGATTTGATATCGTGAATTGGAACGAAGGATGTGTAAGACGGAAGTTGTCAAAGCACGGGCGATGGATATGACGACTATCAATTCATTTGATGGCGAGTATGATTTAACAAGATTGACGTTGGAGAAGTATAATGATGATTCTTCTCCACCCAGAAAGTGATCCAGTTTTCCAATCATGTAGGAGGGATGATGAATTGGAGGGATTGAAGAGAGAGGAGAAGAAGAGAGGAGAAGAAAGAGTGTCTGTGGGTATATGGATGGTAGAGAAGAGAATCAGAGAGAGGAGAGGAGAGGAGAGGAGAGGAGAGGAGCAGAGAGGAGCAGAGAGGGGCAGAGAGGAGCAGAGAGAAACCGAGAGGAATAGTAAATCTGGTACACGGTAAGAGGGGAAAGCTTCTCGAGAAGTGGATAAGGAGACCCAAGAAGGGAAGATGATCTCTCCGTGAAATGTCGAGGGGGTTTCCTGGAAGAATTGAAGCTTGACTTGGAGTCCTGTACTAGGTATTCATTCTGTAATCAGTCTGGGGTTTTTACTCTCTTTTCTTTTCTTCTCTACTCTACTCTACTCTACTCTACTCTACTCTACTCTACTCTACTCTACTCTACTCTACTCTACTCTACTCTACTCTCTTCTCTATATAAATTAAATAATATAATAAATAAATGATAGAAAGTGGAAATATGAAAACATCCAAACATCCAATCATCCAAACATGAAAAGATAAAAAGAGGGGTTCCAAGGTTATTCTATATCATTTGGAAAGTTATTACGATGCACCCTTTGATTGATGAGGGTGTGCGTCAGATAGATGAAGAATAGATGGTTCCCTTCCCATTGATCGTCGTGATCTTCTATTTCCCAAGGCTTGTTAGGTGCAAAGGCCTAGTCCGGGTGGGTATATGAGATGGACGAATTAATATACTTGGGTAGGTCTTTCGAATGAGTTGAATGCTTCTGGTTGGTGGTGAGTGTGCACTGTGTTTGTGTTTTGTATTCCCATATGAGATTCCTTTCCATCCTCACCCCGTCTGCTATCCAAGGAAGTTTCAGCCGATGCAGGATATTAAATGAGATAAATGAGATAAGTGAGATAAGTGAGATAAATGAGATAATTGATACCCAGAGATCGTATCTTGTATAACATTATTGTAGATCATCCATTCATTCGTTCATATCCAATATACACAAACACCCATCCAAACACACATCCATGTATCTCCCTCTTCTTCCGAATGCTTTCATTTTATTTTCATCTCCATCTTCTTAATTCCCTCATCCATCATGACCTGTTGATCTCCGGCATTAAGATTATCTCCAAATGCTTCTCCTCTTGCTCGATCAATCTCATTTCATCCATCCCATCGATACCCTCACAACCATCCGACGTCAAACGCTTACCATTGACTTTGAAGCATGATAACGTCGAACATCAAGAGAAAAAGAAAAGTCGTGCAGGTGCAGGGCGGGCCAAGGAAATGGCGTGGTGGGGTGAATGGGTAAGGATAATCATTGGGTTATGCATTTGCATTATGGTATACGGAGAGAGGATGGTGCAAGATATTTTCATTTATTTATTCCTCCTTCCTCTTTGAAATGAACAAAGAAATTATATAAATACCTAGGTACCTAGTTGCTGACACACTTTTCATTACAATATAATCTTGTAACATAAACCCTTATAATACATACATACTCTCGAATACACACAATATACATCATATCATATCAAACTCCCTCTCTCAACTTCCACTCCATCGATCATCCCATCAATAAACCCATCGACCATCCCATCAATACCTCCCTAGTACTCCATAATCCCCAATGATATTCCTCTCCCATCACGGATCAACATCAAAACGTTACAACCCGACCATCAATCCCTCTTCTCTCCCTTCTCAATGGTGCTTACCCTCACCTCTTGAAACGCATTATGAATCAATCAATCAATCATTTTCGCATCTCTTTTCATCTCAACCATTCAATACAAGAAAGATCATACTCGAGTAATGGACAACGAATCTTTTCTTCTTCTGTATGTAACCTATCTATCTAGTCTGAGACGCTTTTATTAACTGGGTACATATATATATCATAATTAATTGATGATTTACTCGTAGAAGAATTGTATTCAATCAATTCGCTCTTCCATACAAATATAACTAACTCAATCTCCAATTCCATCAATTCCCATTCATTCATTCCATCTCTTCTATTTCTCTTCCCTCTCAATTCTACATACATACACATCTCCCAAACCCCTTCCATCTCCTCAAAACTTCCAATACATGCATCAACCCATATATTACCACCTACCTATCTACCTACCTAGGTAAGTAAAGCATAGCATAGTATAGCATAGCATAGCATTACTGAAACCAAACAATCCAATCAATCATCCATCTAAAAATAAAAAGAAGAATAAAAATAAAAATAAAAATAAAAATCTCATCCAAACTTCATCCATCCACCTCAAACTCTCAACCCAAAATAAATCAAGCTTTTCCTCTATCGTTTCACTATCAAATCAATCAAATCAAATAAATCAAATCAAGCAGTAAGTGCATGAACTCAACAACACACCTAAATCCTCTCCGGGAAAAAAATATTTGTTTTCTACATTTTACTTCACGTACTTGACTATATTGCATCTCTTCCTCACATATATTAACGGGATCTAGACTTTTGATTCTTTGTGATAGGGCGGAGGGTGTGTACATATGGTATGGTATGGTACATAGGTATAGTATGGGATGGAATGGGTAGGTACAGGATGTATGACGATATGCTGTGTAGTATATAGTACAACATAACACAACATAACCTAATAATCTAGAATCTCGATATTTGATATTTGATATTTGATAATTAATTATATACTTCATCTTTACGATAAACAAGTATAATTTATTCAACAAGCGAGTGAGTATATAATTTATCGCACAGATAAAAGAAAAAGAGCTTTTATAAGTATAATATTAAAATTCTATTTAGAGTAGTAATTAATATCTATTTTTTCAATGTTGTAAATCTCTAGAGTATCTTATCTTTCTTGTATTTTAGATTGAAAGTTATTTTATATTGTCACGAGAGAATTAGCCTATATAAACCCAATTAGCTTAATGCTATCGGTGATATCACTTTTAGCGTGATAGTTATGAGCCCGGTATGCGTTTATAGCGCAGTGGCATAATTCTTCACTTTACCGTACTCTCTTGTAGTGGTTTTTCGTGGGCCCACTTATAAGAGGGTATTTCAACAGACCCACATTAGTCATCTGATCTTGGCCTATTGGAGCTAATGTGAGGACCCTGCTCTGTTGCCCCACTATCTCCGCTCAGCCTATTAGATGTATCCAGAGAGAACCTAATACTAGTTGTATCCAATCAAAAGAGAACCTAGATTTGGCATCACATGGAGATAGGAAGAGATTTGTGCATTTATGACTCAATGAGGCTAGTACAGAGATTACTGCCTACAACCAGCTAGTCAGCAATCTCGGGGGTGTGTCACGAGAGAATTAGCCTATATAAACCCAATTAGCTTAATGCTATAGGTGATATCACTTTTAGCGTGATATATATATATTATACGCGGAAAATATATATCAATCATATCTCTGTTATAGCTAGTATTTATAGATTCTTTGTATATAGTTGAGAAAAAGCAATTAGTTTTATCAATTCAACTTCTTCTATATCTTTTTCTTCGTTAGAGATACTATATCTATAATAAATTTTCTATAATATATATAAGAGACTACTCTATAATCCTATTATCTCTTGTTTTTTTATAATATATATATATAAATTTATTATATTATTTTCTTTCTATTTATTATTATATCAATGATAATTATAATTATCTCAAATGCTTCTTTGTATTAATATAGTATCTATTTATAATATAATATAATATTATTATTTTATATACATAATTATAATTATAATCTCATCTCTCTCTCATCTCATTTTATAATACTCTACTCGACTCCATCTCTCCTAGATATTATTCTTTATATTACATAAAAAACAAAACTAAACAAATAAATAAATAGATAAATAGATAGATAGATAGATATTAAAAATATATATAATATCTAGTATATCTCTTCTAAGTTTTAAATACATTACTATTTTGTCATGGTGTGGATACACGTGACCAATAAGCGATAAGCTAGGCCCTGTTAGGCTAGCTTATAAGTGAAAATTCTGTATATCTTTATATTGGAAGATCCTGTATCATAGCTCTTCGAGCTATGTCTTAGTCTACACCCTATACCTATTATTCTTAGCACTGTTGAATATAGATTCCTGATTCCGTTTGTCTGTTTTGTAATACTACATAGCTTCTATCAATATCATCACAATAGCAATACTAGCTTTACACCTACCTAGTTACCTGGAGGATGCCTTTAAGCTCAGTATAGCTGTGGTAGAGGATTCTCAAGCTTGATACCAGTACCTCCAATCGACAGCTGTGTATACTGCCGGATTGGAAGAAGTTAATCTGTTCCTCGAATATAAAACTCGAGAAATATTTATTGAGAAATATATTGAGGCCTCTCTACACGAGCAGATCGTTATGTAGAATATTCGTCTACTTGATTGCCTTACCGAATTTATATCTATTCTTGTTACATTCTCTAAAACAATACTTGTTGAATCTGCTCTCGAATTGTTTAATATTATTATACTTATCTTATCCATTATTATCCATCTAAATGAATATATTCCCGATTTTAAAAAATTTGATGATTCCTGATTTGATCTATAAAAATTCGTTTAATAAATATATACAAAAATAAATTCAAACTCTGATTGTTTTTTTACTACCTTTACTTACTTGACTTATACTGTTGAAAGACTTATTGAAAAAGTTTACAAATTAATTCTCCCTAAGATTATCTATAGTATTCTATAATTCACTAATTATAGCCTACTTTTGGAATACTTAGAGAATGCTTTGGAAATTCCGATTGTAAACAGAATACCTAGAATCAATTATATTTGTTCAAACAAAAACATTTTGATTTCAATATCTACTTTGCTGAGTTTTAAAGATTAGCTTTGAATTTATTTATTTATTTATTTATATTAATTAACATCTGTTTTGAACCTCTCTAAGGGTATTTAGATATGCTAAGATAAGGAACTATTTGAGCAATGTGATTATTGCAACCGAATTTAGCAATTTAACTTCAATGCTAGGGGCTATTCGCTTTTCTACAAATGCGATCTGCTTCTATTTTCAGAAGGGAATATTTGATCTGGATTGTTGTTAAGGTAGAGCTTAATTCTCAAGTGGATAGACTCATTATAGGCTTCGATCCCTATAGTAGAGGAGAAAAAGTGAGAATGAATTATTATTTGTTTAGTCGAGTAA